TAAAGTGGCATCCATTGTCAAATATCTGTATTTACACCAACCGTTTAATGCGACTAAAACTTACTATGTTACGTTGAATTAACAAATTCAGGAATTGCAAGTTGTTCACCCAACTTACGAAATCATGTTGAAAAAACGAAATGCCTCATTACACAGCAAAGGTGGCACAGAAACATATTTACACAAACACCACCATCACACAAACTGATTATTGCAGCATAGAGCTTTACCATAGACTGCAAAAAAATGGACGTAGTGTCCATGACCTCACTCATAGGTTTCTGAAGAGTATGATTGAGGCAACATGTGGGCATGGTTTGTGAGCAAACTTAAGTGCACAGCATGCCCAATTATCTGATAATTGTAAGAAATAACCCAAAAAGGCATTTTACAAAAGGAAAAATACGATAAATTTGCAGAATCCAGTGCTTTAATCACCCGGAATCAGCTGAGCTGACCAGGCTGTCATTCACGCCTTAATTATGCAGAATTTTAAGGCTTAATATGTATGAAACAGATGAGTTATGAAAAATTCACACTTATGACAGTAATATTAGCTATATACACCAACACCTCTTTTATACCAGGCTGTACACACTTTTTTTTTTTGCTGTAAAGTTGGCCGTTTTAACATTGAAGTCAATAGAAATGTGCTCTGTTTTGGAGCCAGCCCCCAGTGGAATTTGGATGAATTGCAGTTGCTTGCGTAGTTTCACCGTTTGGTCTGTACACTGATTTCTGAGCAGATACTAAATGAAATCGACTGTGTAAAGATGCCTTTAAATGCAGGTTTTGCACAGGCGTCCAGAGTCAACATCACCATCTGTAAAGGCACTCGAATATCTAGCATGCCTGCGCTGACTGGCTTTGATCCTTCTGAACAAGCGGGGATGTCTGGTCTGTGGCCCGGGTTCACCCACCCAGGTGCTGCCAGAGTCTGTCTTTGTCTCTTGTTTTTCCAAACATATTTTTCCTGCACTCATCATCATCATCATCATCATCTGCAGATGAGAGGACATTAATACGGCAGGATGTTTAGAAATCCCAAGTTATGCGCGTGATGGGAGGCCAAAGACTAGTCAGCAGTTCCATTTAAAAGCTGAATACTTTCCAGTAAACGAAAGAGGCTAAATATGCGTCTCTCATGATTTAAAGATGACTCTACAAGGTTTATTTGAATATGCGAGCCAGGACTTAACTTTGCAACAGAACATCATACACAGTGGAAATACTTTACAGTAAGCTTTCATTAATGTTCACTCACTTTCCTTCGGCTTAGTTCCTTGTTTATTAGGAGTTGCCACAGTGGAATCAACCGCTAACTATTCCAGCATGTTTTACACAGCGGATGCCCTTCCAGCCACAACCCCGTACTGGGAAACAACCATACACACTCATTCACACACATACCTATATACTAAGATCTATCTATCCATTATTCTATTCATCCATTATTCTTTCTATTCATCCATCCATCCATCCATCATTCTATTTATTCATGCATTCATCCATTATTCTATTAATCTATCCATCATTCAACCGTTATTCCATCATCTAACCATCAATCAATCCATCCATCCTCCCATTATTATATTCCTCCATCATTCAATCCATCAATCCATCCATCCATTATTCCATACATTCATCATTCTATCCATCCATCCATCATTCTATCTATTCATGCATTCATCCATTATTCTATTTATCTATCCACCATTCCATCTATTCAACCATCAATCAATCAATCCATCCATCCATCCATCCATCCATTATTTTATAAATTCATCCATCCATCCATCCATTATTCCATACATTCATCATTCTATCCATCCATCCATTATTTTATTAATTCATCCATTCATCCATACATCCATTATTATATTCATCTATCCATCATTCCATCTATTCAACCATCAATCAATCCATCCATCCATTAATCCATCCATCCATCCATCCATCCATCCATTATTCTATTCCTCCATCATTCCATCCATCCATTATTTTATTCTATCCATCCATCTATCCATCCATCCATCCATCCATCCATTTATCCATCCATCCATCCATCCATTATTTTATTCCATCCATCCATCCATCCATCCATCCATCCATCCATCCATCTATCTATTTAAATCATTTTTCTTTGGTTTAGGTCCTTGTTTATCAGGGGTTGCCACAGTGGAATGAACCACTAACTATTCCAGCATATGTTTTACACAGCGAATGCCCTTTTAGCCAGAACCCAGTACTGGGAAACACCCATACACAATCATTCACACACACACACACACACACACACACACACACACACACACACACACACACACACACACACACACACACACACACACACACACACTTATAAACTA